CATTAAAAGGATGCATGCGCTTAATGGCGCTGCAGCTCTGCTGCTGCAGCAGCAAACAAGCAGCAACTGCTGCTGCTGCATGCCTCCAGCTGCTGCCACAGCTGCCTGCTGCACCACCAACACAGCAGCAGCAGCTGCTGCTGCTGCAAGATATCCAGAGGTGGCAGCAGCAGCAAGTTGCTGCTGATGCTCCATGGGACCCCATAGAACTTGGCTCGGATGCAGCAGCAGCAGCAGCAGCAAGAAGTGCAACAGCAGCAACAAGAGAAGCAGCAAAAGAAGCAGCAACAGCAGCACCAGCACCAGCAGCAGTAGCAGCAGCAAGACAGTCTTCTTCTGCTGCAGTCTTTAGCTGCAGTGTGTATCCATCGGCAGCAACAGCACTTCTGCTGCTTGCTGCTGTGCTGCAGCGAGCAAAGGTGCTGCTGCGCCGCAGCAGCAGCAGCAGCAACAGCAGGACTGTTGCTTCTCTTGTTGCTGCAGCAGCAAAAACAGCAGCAATGGCAAATCGCTTCTCTAACACTGCTGCTGCTGCTGTTGCTGCTGCTGGGGCCTCTCCCTCAGCAGCAGCAACAGCAGCAACAGCAGCAGCAGCAGCAGCAGCTAGAACAGCTGCTGCGCAGCTGCTGCAGTGCCCTGACGTTAATGCTGTTTTGCTGCAGCACAGGGAGACATGCAAAGGGATCGATCTGCTGCTGCTGTTGCGTGCTGCTGCTGCTGCTGCAGCAGCAGCAACGCCTATTTCCCCTGAAGTAAGGCTGTGCTGCTGCTGCCAGTGCTGCAGTTGTTGCTGCCGCTATTTTTTGTGCTGCTGCTGCAGTTTGCATGCATGACTTAGCTGCTTCTCCTCATGGTGCTTCTGATTCGCACATGCTGCTGCTGCTGCTGCTGCTGCTGCTGTTGCTGCTGCTGTTGCTTGCTGTGTCCTCAGTTGCTGCGTTCGCTACCAGGCTTGCTGCTGCAGCACCTAGAATTCATGCCTCCGCAGCAGCAGCTGCTGCTGCTGCAGCAGATGAGGAGCTCGCGCCTCGGCAGGCCTGTTGCTTCCTCTTCAGCAGCAGCAGCAGCAACAGCAACAGCAGCAACAGCAGCAGAAGGAGACGTCCAGTGGTCTGAGGTAGCTGTACACTTGGCACCGCATGTGCTGCGTCTGCTGCGCAGCAGCCGCTGCAGCAGCAGCGATGCAGCAGCAGCATGCTGGTTATATGCATCGTAAGTTGCTGTTGCTGCTGCTGCCTATTGCGCTGCTGCTGCTGCTTGCTGTACCTCACACTCCCATGGTGCTGCTGCTGCTGCATGCAACTGCTGTTGCTGCATGCAACTGCTGCTGCTGCTGCGGTGCTGCTGTTCAGGGAGGGCAACAGCAACCACGAGTTCCCATCAGCAGCAATTGTTGCTGCTGTTGCTGCTCAATTGCCCGCGCTGCTGTTGCGCCCTAAGACGAGCAGCAGCAACAGTAGCCGCAGCAGCAGCAGCAGCAGCATGTCTGATTTGCTGCTGCTGCTGCAGACCCTCGTCTCCTGGAGGGCCCCACAACCATCGGTCTGGGGGCCTCCCTTGCTGCAGAGCGTAGCAGCAGCAATAGGCGCAGCAGCAGCAGCGCGACCTGCTGCGCCGTCACTGCAGCAGCTAGCAGCAGCAGCAGGAGCCCTGGTTCAGCTGCAGCTGCTGCAGTCGTCCTGCTGCAATCAAGTGCTAGCAGCAGAAGGACCGATTCCCTCTCCTGCTGTTGGTGCTGCTGCTGCTGCTGCTGCCGCTGCTGCTATGCCGCAGCGCGAGACACGCCCTGTTGCTGTTGAGTTTGCTGCTGCAATTGCTGCAGAGCTGCACCCCTGGCCACCGGATCCGGACAGCAGCAGCAGCAGCAGCAGCAGCAGAAGGGATCTATCCAGTAGTATTGTCTCATGTTGGAGACACTTGTATCCAGGCCTAACTGCTGCTGTTGCTGCTGCTGCAGCAGCAGCAGCAGCAAACTTTCGTGAGGAGCAGCAACTTCTATCCTCGCTGCTGCTCTGCTGCTCTGCTGCAGGAGTTTTGCTGCCTCAAGGTGCAGCAGACCATCTTGTAAGATTGCTGCTCCTCTTGCTGCTGTTGCTGCTGCTGCTTCCGTTGCTGCTGCAGCTCTTGTTGCCCTTACTGATGCTGCTGCATTGTGCATTGTGCTGCTGCTGTTGCTGATTTGTGCTGCAGCAGCTGCTGCTGCAGCAGGGAGGAAATGGTGCAGGAGTGCCAACAGTGGTGCTGCTGCAGCTGCTGCGGAGTTTGCTGCTGGAGCAGCAGCACATGGCGGCCTTCCCACAGCAGCAGCAGCAGGAAAAGGAGCGCCTAGCAGCAGCAACAGCAGCAGCAGCAGCAGCAGCAAATGAGCTGCTGAGGAGGAAGCTAAGCATGAAGCAGCGCGCTGAGGCTGCTGCACTGATTTGGCGAATCTCTAGATCCGAGTCCATAGCTAGGTAAGCAGCAGCAGCAGCAGCAGCAGCAGCAACGGGAGCAGTAACAG